TGTTTATTTATACTGACGTTCATGATCATTTTGAAGAAAGCAAAATACACGGTAGTAGTTGGTATAGTGAAATGATTGATACACCATGCAGTTTATTATCAGAGATATTCATCTCCTTATTTAAGTAGTTCTTGTAATAAAAACCTCTGTAATATATTAGTCACTATTGTCGTTAACGTAAATATAGTCATTAGTTAAAAAGAAGTGGTGAGTGATAACTAATTTCAATTAGTCAATTGCTTCAATGTAAATACTTGAAACGATACATTCTCCTTGAAAAAAAGAGATGAAAGTTCCCTATCTTTGAGGACTGACTTCGAAAGTCTGAATCCATTTTTTTGGTGACAGAGTTTTTGTTGTTAGGTTGGATATCATCTTTATTGGATCAATCAAAACATAGAAATGCGTGGATTAAACGGGTCTTATGGTAGCTGTTTACTCTATGACAGAATTAAGTTCGTATAAGAAGGCTTAGGGTTAAATGAAAACAGTATCAATATGTACAGTCACTAGTTCATATTTAGAGAGGTCTGGTTCGGTCACTCGAAAATATCATTTCCCAAATCTTAACGTGTGTCCCAACTCATTCTATTTTCATTATATGAAAGCTTGTAACATAGGTAATATTATTCCCTCTATCATTTACTCGACATTTACTGATATAAAGTATGAACATGGACAGACGCATATTCATACCAGTAATTGAGTTATCTATCACTGATCAAAGTAGTAAAAAGCTGATTATATTTCCAATAGGTAAACATAAAACATTCTAAACTTCTCTTTCGATAGTGAACTTTTGGGTATCAGCACTATTTTCTACCGTTTCATTGAATCACCCCCATTTCTTCTATATATTACCACCATTGACCTAACCACTCCTATTAATCCGGGGTTCATCTTTCTGTGCTAATGCGGTATGGCAACCTGGACCGATGCATATATGTGCCTGGTCCTACGTTGTAGTTGACTGACTGACATTTACCATTTAATTCAATGCATTATTAGAAATAAAAACATATTGTATTACTTAACCTTGAATCTGGTGATCAGATTGTGTAATACTATAAAGAATCAATGATAAGTAGTTGTCTGTATTCAGAATTCTGTTGAATCAAACTTTTTGTAAACGTATGGGTTTCTGGAGGGGATGAAATGAACAAGGTTGATAAACGTAAACTAATTGATCAAAGTTGAAGCTAGAACTAAGATCAGTGTGTTATAACTGAAAAATAAATGATGCTGATTAGGGGTAGCGAATTATTGATCGGACCAAAGACGCGCAAACACGTAGAACGACCTAGGGTTCTGATTGGTCTCGCTTCCCTGTATAAACCAGCCAATTGAGTCCAGAACGCAAGTCACAGCCTCGGATATATGAATCATTATATTTCAAACATACTTTGTTTATATACCAGTCAATCAGTCCACAACGTACCATAAAATAGAAGATAACATTGTACAATAATGGACAGTAGGAAAGTAACACGTTAAATAAATATTGACCAATAAGATGATACCATTTTATGTCCAAGGATAGCATTAGGCTTAACAGGATAATTTTTGGGATATTTTCCTGAATATCCCAACACAGTGATCGGAGATATCAGGTCTTATATATCAGATTTTGTCTAAAAGGTACAGGTACTTTCAATCTTTATCTTCCTTTCAGTTTAGATCTTCGATATCATTTCATGCATTTTGTTCCTCGAGTTTACTCTAAACAAAATGCATTCTTTCTCACTATCATCGATACTTCAACTATTTTGACATAATTGCTATTCGCCTTGTTAGTTTCATCTTTTCGTGATGATATGGTTTAGTGATTTGGACTGAATCACATTTGTTTCGGGCTTCACTTCAATTTCCACTAATTGAAGGTGCACACCACTTTCATCTTCTTTATGATACAAAATCCAGGCCAACTTTCATAAACTTGAAACAATCTTGAGTAGACAAGTTAACTATAACCGATATACATAAATCCGCTATTCAAACCTGTTTAAGAATCCTTAGAGAAATGTCTGTATCTAGACAAAAAGTAAGATATTTGGAAGTGCTAAAAAATTCAATTTTACTTGCTATATAATACTTCCTGCAAACGCCTTGGTACGGCCGAGAGTAGATAGAGTCAACTCTCCCTCTCAAAATGCTCTCAAACGATCACGTGCATACAACCACTGACAGGGGAGTTCTACTCACTGCCTTCTCGCGAAGGGGGTGTTGTTTACGAAAACGAGAAGAAGAAAAGCCAATGTTCGGAGCTTTAACCGGGATGTTGGAAACAGAGGGTCCACCTAGGGGAGTTGTAAAACATGGGAACATGGGCTCCAGGATCCTAAGAGAGCAAATGTCGTATGAACCAATTGTTGGTTCACAAATGACAGTTTTATATATGCCAATAATAATAATAATAATAATGTAAATATCATAGAACTTGATAATATAATTTCTTAATAACATTGAATGTTTCATCTCTACTAAAAACACTAACTCGTTACTGAAGATCGTTGTAAATTTCATTAGAAAATGATGTCATTTCAAAACAACTGACAATTCAATACTTTTCAATAGTTCGGATATACACAACTTATGAATTTATCTAAATTGACAATGAGTTATTCATTCATTGTTAGCGGCTTGTTTGAACATGTGTGCTACCTGTTCTTGTCATCTTGATATTTCAACAAGTTATCTGTTGTTTTTTTGAATACATCATGATGGCTATTAATCACATAACTTATTTAGGTGAGTTTGTGAGGAGTATACAACCTTTCGTTGTACAAGTTACAACAGGGTCCAATCAGAGATATCGTGGTTGTTGTCGATTAACTGGACTGCTAACCCTTAACTGACGATCACCCAATATTTATCGTCAGGATCGATGAACAATTAAGAAACAGAAACTTGTTGGATATATTGTGTTGAGAATTCTATATTGTACCAGAAATCTAATATTGAATAAAGCCACTAATAATAAGTAAATCGTATGAGAACAGTACCGCAAGATGAAAACTGAAAATGTTGATCTATATGTTCAAACATTATGATTTAATCTGATTATAGTAACTATGAGAATGATCTGTAAATTATGGAGGTGTATACACCCTCTGTCTTCCCTTAAACTAAGAGATTAAAATCACTTCATATCTTTCTTTCTGCGAACTAGTTCTCTCTTCCTGTACTATACTTTTATATGCAATCTTTCTTCCATATATTACCTCCATTGAAGTGACTACGTCTATGAATCTAGTGTTCATCTTGCTGTGCTAATGCGGTATGGCAACTCCCGACCGTAGCTGCTACCTTGACGCGGTGGTCGGGCGTGCCTATCGTGATGACTCAACCGAGCTATATTGGCTGGAACATATGTTCCTGTAGGTTCTACCATGCCAGGCAGGTCGATTGGAGAACGGTAAGACTAAAAGTAGCAACTCAAGGTCCGAGGGAGAAGTTGTACTGCTGACTATAGAGGGGTGTGACAGCAGTAAGGTGTTTACCTCGGACAACCAACATCTACAGCGATGCTGCCTTTTCACAAGGAAGGAAGGGGTTAGAAAAGGTCGGTCCTAAAAATGTCACACCTCATCTTACTTCACGGATTTCCGTTTCCGGCGGTAAGGCCCTTTGGAGAACGGAGCTAACACATTAACAACCTCCCACGAAAAGTCCGTGCGCGACCGGCCTCAAGTAGTTGTTCCTTTGGCTCTGCGGTCACGCTCCCGGTTCGTCAAGGCCAACATTAATCCAACTTCTTTTTCAGGTTCCTCAAGAAGTGGGCAGCCGGGAAGTGACATCAGCCCTCATACCCGTAACAGCACACGAGACTGACTGACTGGTATGGCAACTTGGACCGATGCATATATGTGCCTAATCCTATGTTGTCGCTGACTGATCGATCTGTAAATGTTGAATTTTTGTGTTCATATTTCAATGAAGTCAGTAATTGGAATTTTGAAAACACCTACTATCTAAAACTTTATGATTTTCAACTGTCTTTTAGATGATTTTTGAGTTTCCGGGGGGTTTTCTTTTGAAAAAAAACATCTACTTTATAAAATTGAATAGATGAAATTGTAAAAAAACTTATTGTGAAGCAATTTATTTCATTCATATAAGAAGATATAACATACAAGCCACTATCCATCTTTGTTTATAAAGCTTGTGAATTAAGGCAATATGAAGGCAATCCACATATGCCAAAAAGAGATTGATGAACTACAATCCTAAATAACAATCAAAAGATATAAGTAAAACAACACCAATTGAATTTAAAACTTCACCCCATTACACAAGCAGGTGGTTATTAGGACTCAGTAACTAAGTGGGTAATGCGATGGCGTTTGAAGCGAACGGTACTGGGTTCAAGTCTCAGACTGAACACCAACTCTGGGATGCAGGTACATCCAGCTGACGAGTCCCAAACAGGACGAAACGCGCGTCCTGGATTCCACTGCTAGCCACTATCCATCTTTGCTGATAAATCTTGTAACCAAAGGTAATATCGAGGTAATCCACACAGGATGTACATATGCCAACAAGAAAATAATCAATTACAATCTTAAATAACAATGAGAAGATACGAGTAAAACAACACCGATTGAATTTATACATTTTTTTCTTTTAAGAATTTATTTATCCAATGGATAATATACCCATAATATTTTACATAACTGGAAATGAAAATTATAATATCAGTAATATAAATATGAAGTTTATCCAGTCAGTCAGTCAGTCAGTCAATAACAATGTAGAACTTCGTACGTACGTACGTACATCAGTCCGAGTTGCCATACCACATTAGCACAGATACTGTGGACTTAATAATAGTAATAATGGTAATGGTAGTAATGATAATAGTTATAATAGTAGTAATAATATTAATAATATAATTTATTCCCAACGAACACTTGAACCCGGATATAATATTCTCTTATAATATTTTGCTTAAATTTCCATGGTAACATTCTATTTAAGTGGATCATATTTTTCTTTTTAAGAAAAAAAACAGAAAAAAAAGAACACACTTTACATTCAAGTACATCTAAGTGAAGGTATGTTTAAACTATACTTACTTAGAAATAAAAAAAATTCTTTTCTTCTCTTTTCTATTCTCATATGAGTAAATTTTCTATCTACCAAATGTATATAAACTATGGTTAATAAATTTGTAGGTATCATTACTATGGTTTGACTTGATCATTTCAAATAAATTAAGTATTGAGTAGATTGTTGTAAATAAATAAATATTTACTTACCTACTTACTCCTGTTATTCCTCATGAAAGAGTATAGGCCGCTCACCAGCATTCTTCATCCAACCCTGTCCTGGGCAATCCTTTCCAGCTCTCTCCAGTTGTTATTCATCTTTTTCATATCTGATTCTATTTCTGTTAGGGACGTTAGATCCCCAGAACTCACTTGGGAAAAGACCTAATTTTGCAATTTTATTTAGAAAATTTGAATTTCTTTATTTTCGCGCCAAAAACACTTGTCACCTTCATGTCGTATTTCCCACTGGGAAATATCTTAAATGCTATTGGTCCGTTGCGTCTTTTGGTATGCTATTTGGTAACTCACCCCAAGGACGGTTTTGTACTGTATATATACGTTTTGAATTGTGTTTGTTGTTATCGCACGTTTCTGGCTGTTTGCAGAACATACTTCCCCATTCCAAGCTTGAACTTCTCCCTCTAGTTAGAGAGATTGGGACACATCAATAGCTAGCTTACTGGTCTTTGGTCACTGAGTCCTGTTTCTCGTTTGGAGATTAAGTGAACTCGTGATAACTTTAACCCTAGCAATTTCCTGACGTAATGTGGTCACTATCCAATGAGTTTCGTGACTCGGTGTTAGCCACTTCTTCAGAGTAAATAAATAAACAACCCAAAATTAATCTAAGTTTAAATAGTACAAAGATTATTTATTCTTAATGATTTTTCTTTTAGTCGAGTACAAGTCTACTCCGTACATTATTCTGTAACTATGAGACATGACATTTCATTACAATAAACATAAGTAGTTTGCTAATATTTGATTACAGGTATATTTGAAGCATTTCTCACCTAAATTGAAATCACAGAATGAGTGATAATAAGTTGGGTTATGTTGTAATAGTTAGAGATGACTATTATTGGAGTTACGCAAGAAGATTCATCAAATAGTGAAAGTAGTATAGAGTTGAACATTTTTCACAGTGAAACTAGTCGCATTCTACATGATACACTGTTGAATGGAAGACAAACCCCTGTCACAATTCATTTCCCATTAGCTTTACTAACATAGATGTGGGCGGAAAAGTAAGTACATTAGAAGAATAGAAAGATCGGTATAAAATTGTGCTACTGAATATATGTCAGAGTCTTTATCCATATTTGATCTTCGGTCTTGAAGAATATCTTTCCTTTCAATTTGTGTACGTTTTTGTTATTCAACCCTTGTTAAGAATTTAATTCAGAATATGGTTTATTAGAACACTGTCAATGTCTGAGAAAGACTAGTTGATTTACAATTACAAACGAACTAAGCTTTCAACCACCTAGAAATTTAGATAGCTATTTAGAAATTCCTATTAAAGTCAAACATAAATAATTCTTTTACAGAAAATTATATATTTTTCGATTTCATTTATTTCAGTTAAACTAATCTAATCCGATGGATTGGTAGACAGTTAAAGTGGTCTTCAGTTGACCTGTGAAAGGGTGTTTCTCAGTTAAGCAATAACAAAATGACCACAGTCTGGACAGCAAGCAATCTACGTCGACAAGATGGACGTTATAACAGTCTATCCAGAAGTTTAGGATCTTTAATGTCAATTGTACTCGATGAGGATAAATCTCCATCCGTGTTGATTTTTTCTAATCAATCACCAAGAGAGACTAATTTACAAACAAGTGTCTCTGTTGGTGATCGAGTCGGAGATGAGAATATTTTGCCGTTAAATGGATTAAGTTTTCGTTCATTACAAACAGACTCTTCTTCATCGATTGCATTTGTTGGCAAAAAAATTAAACGTGAATATCAATCGGCGTTTGTATTGCCTGATAAACAAACAATTGGTATTATTCGTCAAGAAGCGTTTATGACTGAAGAAGGTTTAGCTCAAGTCACGCTTAGTTTATGCGTTTCGACTCATTTAGATGGTTTAAAAGTTAGTAAAAGTGAAAGAATATGTGATTACCTTGATACGGACTATTGGGCTTCCATTTTATTAGCTTCCACTGAATCTCACGATGCTGAACTATTAGGATATATGGGACCTGAATATACTTCAAGAAAACCTAATCGTTTTAACTTTGAACGTTCTGAAAGCCGACGACGTAAACGAGAAATTGTGCTTGTTCAAGAAGAGATTGAAGATAGCGATGAGAAAGATAATGTTGGGCAATTTGATGGTAGCAATATTTTGCCTGAAAGTGTTACAGTGTACGAAAAAGTATATCATAAAGAAAAGGATGAATGTGATCCCCAAACACATCGATTAATCTTGCATCCTCCACCACCCCTTCCACCTGCACAGCTGCCAGAATCACCGCCGCCTTCACCACCGAAAACATTAAAAGTATCTGAAAGAAATGCTTCACCAAAACCACAACTAACTTCGAGTAGAAATTCATGTCAGCCAAAAGAACAAGCCCCAATAATTGGACGGGCTGAACCACCTGGAAAAACTAAACCAATTGTAAGTAGTCCGAAATCTAAAGAAAATTTTGAAAAACTTAAACGTCAATGGAATAATCGTATTGCTCAAATGCAAGAACATTTAGATAATCAGTATCGCGATACACCAACATCTCTACCACAAACTTATACAGAAGGACATCGTGGTTCTACAGTTACATCAATTCTCCCCACAGTAGATAAAAGATCTTCTGATCCATATGTAAAAAGTCGAATTTCATCTACTGACCAAAGACTCTCCCCTGAACAAGCATATGATCATCAATCTCTTCCGGATAGAACTTCAATTGATCATGGATCAAATAAAGAGAATTTTATTTTTCACAGCTTTGATTATATCAATTCATCATCACCGGGTTCCGGTGATCTAGTGGATCCGGTTACGGAACGTTGTGAAAAAGATGCACAATTTATCTATAGTCAAGCAAGACTATTTGTTAATCAACAAAATATAGGCAGATTAAGTCCACGAAAATTATCAGGTAAACTAATTATTTTATTTATTATGTCATGTTATTAGTGTTTATTTAAGTACTGATTGATTTATTGATTATATACTTTTTAATTAAAAAAAGCTTACTATCGAAACGATAAGTAAGTTCAATGATCGATGAATTAGTATCAGAGGGGGTTTGGTGGAGATTGTAGTAATTTCAATAGTTGAAGCTAGACAACCATGGAAAACCTGGGAGCACTATCTGACGGCGTTTCGTCCTATTATGGGACTCGTCAGCAATGCGCATCCATGATCCCGCCTCGCGAGCGCTTAATCACTAGACCGATGAATTGTTTGTTCCCTGTTTTCCTCTATAAAATGAGTGTTTCAATGAGTGTAAAACGACAACTTAGGAATCAGTTACAGATTTGTACACCGTAAAAAAGCAGTTAAGTATAATAAGTTTGATGGGATAAACTTTAAGCAAAGCAAGAAATATTTAGAAACTGATAGCTTGCATTATTGAAGATTACCATTTAAGCGATCATTGATCGGAATAACTATACATGCGATGTGAGTGTGTATATGAATGGTGCGAATGGTCCACCAGGGTGCTTGGTACCTGTGTGGTTGCGCCACAGGATTGAGCTGTACTATTCAGATTGTAGTGTTAAAGCCTGCACGGTGTCTGGTTCCTCTGCTAAACGGGGTTGAGCTGCACTGCTTGGGTTTTTACGTGAAAGTCCGGATGGTGTCTGGTTCTCCTGAAAACCAATGTAAAATTACCCTGTCCCACAAGGGTATATTATATATAATATAACTAACCATTTAAACAATAAGATATCATTATGTAATTTAAATCAAATTATTCATATGAAGGAAGTGTTATGATTCAGTTAACTAAATTGAACTAGATAAAGTAGATTCTAAATAATGTGGTCTATTAACTCGAAATATGAATAGTTTCATCATTCCTTTCAAACATACAATAAATCTGTGCATCAGATATTTCTTATGTGTAATACTTCAACAGTTTGTTACAATGATTGTAATGAAAGAGTCTATTTAGGATGAAATTTATTTTTTTCAGAAGTATTTAATAATTCATTTGGTATTATTTACTTGTATCTTTCGATTGTTATTTAGGATTGTAATTGATTAGTGTCTTGTTGGCAGTATGTACATCCTGTGTAGATTGCATCGATATAGCTTTGGATTACAAGATTTATAAGTAAATATTGATAGTGGTTAGCAGTGGAATCCATGACGTGTGTTTCGTTTTATTTGGGACTCGTCAGCCGGATGTGCCTGCATTCCAAGGTTGATGTTCATTCCGGGACACGATGGCTTTAAAAGCGAACGGTGTTGGGTTTGAGTCCTAGAGTGAACATGAACTCTGAGATGCAGACACATCCAGCTGACGAGCACCAAATAGGACGAAATGCGCGTCAAATTGGATTCCACTGCTAGCCACTATCAATATTTACTTATAAATCTTGTAATCCAAAGCAATAGCGATGCAATCTACACAGGATGCACATACTGCCAACAAGACACTAATCAATTGCAATCCTAAATAACAATCGAAAGATACAAGTAAGAAAGTATTTAATAATGTTTAATAAGTTTTCATATTAGTCCGAATATACTTATGATGTAATATCTGAGTTTTTTATGTGTTATATATATTATATAATTATAGGATTTTAACTAATATTAAAACCTTATCTGCAATACATCTGGATGACTCTAAAATCAATAACTTTTAGAGACAACACAATCTGGTTACAACAACTATTTTCTTTCCATTGAAAACCTTCAATTAACCTAAAGTTCTAATTCCAATGGAATTACTGAGGCCTCTGATGTACCCAAGATTTTAATCCATAATCTCTGTAAATCACTTCATTTAAATTTTTTTAATATAGTTGCAGAAAAGTCCTGATGTGGATATGTGATCAATGTTGACGGAGTGTTTGATAATTAACCCGTTATTTGATATGCATTCCAATTTTGATAGTAATACAAGGTGGTGATTAGAAAACCTAGAAGCACTCGATAGGTTCTGGTTTCGAATCTGATGAGATGGAATCGTGAGGAGTCCCACAATATGACGAAACAGCCATCTAGTGCTTCCATGTTTTCCATGGTTGTCTAGCTTCAATTGATTCATGATCTCAACTATTGAAATTACTACAATCTCCACAAAACCCACTCTGATATTCATTATAGTTTTATTTAAAACAGAAAGCATTCATGGATAATCTTTATAAATATCTTTACACAATCCGAAATTCTTATATAAAGTGTAAATTTTCATCTTTTCATATAAATAATAGTTCACTCAAATACTTATACTTCATTGGTTATTCAAGGTGATGGAATTCATCAAGGATGATATTTCTTTTATTTAAACTTTTATCTAATTGAATGATTAATCGATTGTGATACTTTCAATAATGAACTACTTTCTTTATAACCTTAAAGTTATACTCCTAATTGGTTAAAATTTAAGAATGACCTTGATCACCATAACATTATGATTTACATCTGAAAGTGAACTAACTAGTGTTTATATTTTGAATATTTCCATCAAGTACATATCTATTTAATTTTTATTAATTAAAATAATAAAGGTTGATTCTAATTACATTGTAACAAGTCACCATGACAATCTATTGTAGATATAAATCGGTGTTAAATGAATGAATATTTATTGATTATATTGTACTCATTTTTACTGTAAAATTGCATATCATCTTTCATGTGATCATGTAATGTGGAAAGAAAGAAGAAAAACAAAACAACAATGTACTTTATTTGTATCTATCCGTTTCTGAAAGATAACCAGTATTTAGTAAACTTTTGTAGTCCTTTATATGTATATATAAGGGCGGGCAAACCAAAACGTGGCATCAGTGCTTGAAGTCACGAACTTCTAGTCTCAGTCATGTTGGTAGATACAGACTATATGGTTCGGGTCTGTATGACTATCGTAACCAATGGTTGGAGACTCTGGTTGACATGGCTCAGAATCGATCACAATGGCGTCGGTGTATACCTTCTTTGTCTTCCTCTAAACTATGAGATTAAAATCGCTTCATATTTTAATTTCTATGAATTAATTCTTTCTTCCTGTACTATATCCTTATATGCCATCTTTCTTTTATATATTACCACCACTGGATTAACTACTTCTATGAATTTGGTGTTCATCTTGTTGTGCTAATGAGGTATGGTAACTTGGACCGATGTATATGTGTGCCTGGTCCTACGTTGTAACTGACTGATATATATATATATATATATATATATATATATATATATACTTTGCTTAAATCCAGGGTAACAATTTGCAAATTGGATCTCCCTGTTATTAACCCCTTAATAGGTCAATTGTAAACTAAGTATTTAAGTGAATAGATGGATACATATGAATGTATGAAGTGATGATGAAACAGTATTCTTGAGTATATGACCAAACTATTTTATTGTCATTGTCATCATAATACCTTTGAACAAACGGTCAATCCTCATTTTTATTTGTTTTTATAACATAACTCGTCTTTAATTCATAGGATAATTATGGTGAGCTGTTAGCGGTAGAAACACTGACTTTATCCTTAATGGTGTTTGTTTCTTAACTCTGTTCGAGATACATTGGTTGTAAGCATGATACTTAAGTCAGGTAACTGTTCATTCCTCTATACTTCATTATCGTATCAGCTCATTTAGTTAATCAATCCCATGGAAAGCTTAATCGATAAGATTTTGTAAGTTTTTTCAACCGGGTCTATTGTGAGATAGTAACTCACTGAAGACAATGGTGAATGTGTCGTTCAATTTCGTGGATTGGTCGAAGTTAAACATTAACACCGATGGATGCCGGTTCAGTGGTCTAATAGTTAAGCGCTCGCGCGCGAGACCGATAGGTCCTGAGTTCGAATCTCGCGAGGTGAGGTCGTGGATACACACTGCTGAGTTCCGCAAGAGGACGAAACGGCCTTCCAGTGCTTCCAGGTTTTCCATGGTGATCTCATATCGATCGTTTCATGATCTCAACTATTGAAATTTTTCAAATGTATTGAATGCTTTATGTATGAAATTGTTCCTAAATTTCTCATCGGTATCACAAAATTGATGAACTGGAAATAGTCATTTTATAGTTTCCTTAAACTCAATCATTCTGTGAATTCGGACTCACTTATACTCGTCTGGAAAAATTAATAGAGTATCACATTTTGTACAAAAATTTCACATAAATTCTATGATTACAGTCTATAGAATCTAAGGTGATAAAATTCCCACGATACATTTTAAACTTTAGACATTCAGTAATCTTTAACATAACGGTAGTCAGAGCCCTCATGAATGAATACAAATTTTGATGGAGGTTGTTATCTTTATTGCTTGGCTTATTGTTAACACCTCATTCGTTTGTACATATTGTTTATTATCTTACCAAGATTGAATCAGTTTTGTACACATAATAGAGATATTCTCACTGAGTGTTAGTCTTTCATCAGAACTCTTATTGTGAAAGCGATTTGTATGGACAGTGTTGTTTTCGAAGTTATTGTCTTATTGAGAATTCACATTGAGTAATTTAAAACACAAGTCCACGGTTTTCTGCTGATTCCTACCAATCATCTGGTATCAAACAAAAAGGTTGACCATGATTTCCAGTTGGTCGTATTAGTTACTTCATTGTAATATGATCAACATAATCTAGTCACCTCCAAAGAATGAGCAAACTTGATACCTCAGTTTCACTGAAGATCATTCTTTGCCTAAGCCGCTTACTGTTAATACTTCTAACTATGATATAGATTGATCTATATTACAATTACCTGGACATCATCATTTCCATGAAAATTGTAGATACGCCTTAATGACGTGTACTAATAAAAGCGAAACAAATGTGAGTCTTTTAGCTAATTTTCTCCAACCATCTAACACAAATCACATGACTACGTCGGAGATCACTAATTGATTTTATGGTTGTTATTTGAAGGATTCGGATAAAGCCACCGACGGATTCTCATG